ATGTGTAGTTCTGTTGTACATTTTTCTCCTTTTTTTAGCATTATCTATTGTGTTCTTGAATCAAACATTCAGGAGTGGTAGCTAGGCACCATCTAGTTCTTCTGGTCTCATTGTAGTCCAGTACCTTGTCTGATTCTTGGGTTTCCTTCTTTTTCTTTTGTTGCAGATGAATTAAGACTGATAGTTGCGTAATAGATTGTTTCTCATAAGCTTTTAAAATCTCAAACACTACTCAGCATACTGGGAGGTAGAGAATAAATTTTGAGAATTGTATTATACCATTTGATGGGTTGACCCATGAAACCACAGCCCCCAAACCTAGAGAACTGATCCTATGTGCTGATTGATTATGTCTCAATAATATCAGCATCTTTAGTCCCTCCCTCTCCTTTTTTTGGATGATGTTGTTGTTACGAAACCTGCACAACCCAGTGTTTCCCATTCATCATCCTCTTTCGCCATGCACAACTTATTGACATCAGTTACATCAGTCATGCTATGCAAAATCCACTCATATTTTGGGTTAACTTTCCCATTTTTCTATTTATAAAAAGTGAGAGCTACCTAGAGAGCAGTTTCTCCATCTTTCCCCATCCCTCACTCCTGTCAGCCACTAATGAACATTAGTTTCTGTATATATATCTATTCATGTTCCTTCATAAAAATGAGGGTGTATAATATTTGTGGGCTTTTTTGTAATTGATTCCTTTCACTCAACAAAATATCCTCCAGGTTTGTGCATGTTGTAAGATATTTTAGGGACTCACTTTTCTCTATTCCTGAATACTATTCCATTGTATGTATGGGCCATATTTTACTTACCCCTTCATCCGTTGATGGGCAGGCCCTTCAGTTGTTTTCATCTTTTTGCTATTGTGAATAGTGCTGTAATGAACATAGGTGTGCATATGTTTGTTTTTGTCATTTTCTTTTTAATCAGTAGAGTGTATACCTGGGAGCTGTGGTAGCATAGTGCCTAAGGCATTTGACTGCTAACCAGAAGCCTGGCGGTTCAAACCCAGCAGCCACTCCTCCAAAGGGAAGGTTGGGCAATCCTACTTCTGTAGTGATTCTGCCTCGGAAACCCAAGGAGGGGTCGCTATGAGTCGGGGGCGACTGGACGGTAAATAACAACATGGCAGCTTTACCCCTTGTTTTTTTGAACTGCCAGACTTTTTTCCACAATAGCTGTACCAATACCATCTTGTATTCCTCCTAGAAATGGATGAGGGTTCCAATTTTTTTCTTTTTTAAATGTTAGCAATCTTAGTGGTAGTGAAATGGTATCTCATTGTGGTCTTGATTTGCATTTTTCTGCTGGGTAAGGACATTGAGCATCTTTTCATGTGTCTGTTGGCCATTTGAATATCCTCTTTGGTGAAGTGTCTGTTCATGTCTTTGTCCAGTTCTTGATTTATTTATCTTTGTATTGTTAAGTTATAGAAGTTTTTTATATATTTTAGATATTAGACTCTTAACAATCATATGTTGCCAAAGATTTTTTCCTAGTCTGCATGTTGTCTCTGTACTCTTTTGATAGTCATTTGATGAACTAAGTATCTAGTGGCATAGTGCCTAAGGCATTTGAATGCTAACCAGAAGTACAAACCCACCAGCCACTCCATGGAAGGAAGACTGGGCAATCTACTTC